TCTTTTCCGCATTCATTGTCCTCAAGTCCATCTCAGGCTTTAAAGGTATCAAACACTAATCTTGAGAATGTACTACCATTGTTAGCCTGACGATATATTCATGCAATTAGAGACAGAATTTAAGGTAGAAGTACCAATACTTGGACATGCGTATCTATATTTGGACACCTTTAATTATTATTTATAAGTATAACGCGAATTAAAATCAAAGATAAAAATATTTTTTTGTAGTTTGAAACTTTAGTCATACGTAGTTGTAGTATATACGTAGTTGTAGTTATACGTATATATGTAGTTTGATACTTTAGCTATAGTATTCAAACGTTTATTTCCATAAATTTATATTTTTTAAAGGTATCCACATAGGTACGTGTCCAGGCATTGGTACATTTACCTACCCTTAGGTGTCCGGGTATTGGTACTTTTACCTTAGTAATTGTATTTCTCTCCATCTAAATATGTAAGAAAGTAATATACAACAAAATAAAGAATCAACAGAAACTGATCGCAGATCACTGCTTTCATCATCATCTCAGTGTGAGTCACTTAATTTTTCTGGCACGAGTGGCGCAACGTCAATATCAAGAGATTCTACACCATCTCCTGCACCACAAACGCTACCTTTTAATATAAAAATGGATCGCTCAAGAATAAAGAACAAAAGTAACACATACTTAAAGCATTCACTTGCAGCTCTGAGCGATAGTCTTCAAAAGCGTGTGACTAATGCAGAACCATCTCAGCAAAGGGGTTGGAATCTTAATGATTTAACACCTGATAAAAGTTTTGGTTTGTTAGTAGCAACGGAATTGGAAAGAATGTCTGAATCTGAAAAATCGAGACGAAAGCAAGCGATTATAGAAATTTTATGGAAACCATTAGGTTATAGCCGCATAACTTTGTTTCTTATTTTATAATAATATAAGATCTGTGTTACTTTTGTTCTTCTGATATTATAAAATATTTTTTAAAAATAATTTTATATTATTTTTATATTACTCTTATATTAATCGTACAATTAATCTTTTAGTTCATTTTTACCTAAAAAATACATGCCTGTATATTTTTTGTAATAACATTTCATTCAGCAGAAAATGTTGTTTTCGTTCTGTGTTGCTGCCAAACGCTCCAACACAAAAAATTATTTTACTTTGTAGTTTTTGTACTGGCAGGAATGTATACAACAAATACAAATAAAAGTAATCAAATGCATTTTAATAACCTTATTTATTTATTAATAAATGACGGAGACCGATCTTATATTAGCTGATATTTAACTCTATTTCTAGAATACACATATTATTGTCACTCTTGAGCAAATCACTGTATTTTGATTTCTTCTTTTTAATAAGTACCAACAAACGTGTTGTAATTAACTATAAATGCAAAATAAACGTCATAAAAATGTATACAATAAAAAATTGCAAACAAAAGTAATTAATCTTTTAACAAATGCGAATAAAAGTAACTTCTTGGCTTAATGGAAATCTGGACTGTTGAAACCTCTATTAATGTACTCGTATTGCCATGAAACTTCACCCTTAGGAGTTAGCAAATAATCTGTTATTTCATCTCGTTGCTTGTATGCCAGTGTGGTTGAACGACGAGCATTGGTTGCTCTAATACGTTCAATTTCTACTACGTTACTTGTAGAACATTCACTTCTCCAGCCTCCACTAATAATAGTGCCATCCTCTTGCTTAGTATCGACGAAATTGGGAGGACAATAAATTCTGTGTTCTGCTGGCCACAAATCGTTCACAGTTTTTAAAAAATTGTGGAGACATATAGTTGCTAATATGATCTTGTCGACATTTTCAGGATGTAAAGTAATAGATTTTCTTAAAATTCTCCAGCGTGAGACAAGAATCCCGAATGTATTCTCTATAACTCTCCTAGCTCGTGATAATCTATAATTAAAAATTTTCTTTTTTACATTTAAATTGCGACCTGGATATGGATAATTCATGGATAATTCATGGCCTCATCATATTTTGTGTTAGTTGAAATGCCTCATCTCCAACGAAGAAGCATGGCGTCCTTGTTCTACTTCCAGGCAAATTGGTTTCATCTTTTGGTAAATTAAGATTACCATTGTGTAGAGCTTTGCCAAACTCCGATCTTGACAAAACTCCGCCATCACTGTTGCTGCCATATGCTCCAACATCTACTACTGTAAATTTATAATTGTGATCACATGCCGCCATTACTATTATACTGAAAATTTTTTTGTAGTTGAAGTACAAGCTCCCAGAATTTGGCGGAGCTTGTACTTGTACGTGCTTCTCGTCAACTGCACCACAACAGTTTGGTAGGTTCCAAGTTGTCCAAAATCCTTCACATACTTTGATCCAATCTTCTTCTGTAGGAGATGGCAAATATAAGGGCGCTAATATTCTTTTAATTGCAGCACAAGTCTCCTTTATTACTTTACGTGCCGTCGACTCCCCAATGCGATATGCTAAAGCGATTGATAGAACTTGATCTCCTGTAGTAAGGAATCTGATATAACAAAAATACAAAAAAATTTAATTGGTTAATTTAATACTTCCTGTGTGTACATAACATATTATCACTGAAATAAATACATACCTTAGCCTTAGAGTTAAAGCAAGGCGTTGTTCGGGTATCAATGGCCGATGACTTTTCTTTACCAAAAATGGTGTCATCATTTCCAGCAGTTGATTAAAGATGCATAAAGACATTCTTGTGTAGCGAAAAAACATAAATAGATCATTTTTCATCTCTTGCAGTAAGTGATTAAAGTCTCCTTGATCAGGGCGTCTCACATTGTTTGGTCGTACCCAATACTGTCGATTGACCCAACGAAAAGATATTCGTTTCTTTACAATGTATATACCAAGCATTAGAATTAGTAATGCATGTATGAATATTTCTTTCTCATTATGCATTGCCTACAAAAAAAAAACATAAAATCTTATACATACAAATTATCCATTATTCTAAATTATAAATTAAGCTAACAACTCACATCACATGGCGATTTTTCTACTTCTGACAGTTTATTGTATATCCTGTATATCAGCTACACACCCGTGGCTCCTGAATAAAAATGGATGTTAGAGATTAGATTGTTGCACATTTAAAGAAAAATAGAAATTGATCTCTGTATAAAAATTTTACATTTTCTTACCGATAATGTCTAATTTGTATCGTTACAGTGATTGTATACGGCTTCGAGAATTTACACAGTAGCTAATACTGCACTGTGTCTAACATTTACATGAGTAGAATTCAACATATAATCCTATAAAGTCGGCAGCACTACATCTATAGTATAATGTAAATTAGCTACCGTCAGATTAAAAAGCAATTGCAAAAAATTGCTAATGATAGAATTGATTATAATATTCGATATTGCAAACGTTCATTGGTATTACTGTCAAAACTTACCTGGCAAGGAGCTGAAAGAAATGTCCTAACCTGTATGACCTTCTTTGACACTTGGTGATCTGTCATCAAGGGCTTTTTGTATTCTTCTATATTGCGCGATTTGTACGCTAACAGAATTTTTGTTGAATTTTATATCTGATTTTGAGATATGTATGATTCCTTATGCCAACTTCAAAATAGGCAAAGATAGTCAGTATATCCGTACCATATAAAAAGTTGTCTGTGTGACGTCCTGGGTGATGCGAGGTGGCTTCGATCCGACAGAACGTCTCCGTTGATGGGTTCTTTTTCTTGCAGTTAAGGAGGTAAAACCCCAGGATAATTAGCTGTTGGTCGGCGATGTAGATTATGGCTCCTTGGATCCGTCGAAGGTAGGTAATTCAATAATCTTCAATAATCTTTATCTTTCTTTTGATATAAAATTGTATGATATTTATTGTAGAACTTTTACGATACAAGTGGTTTATGTGGGAGGATGGAACAAGTATAAGATATGTGACCTTTCCTGGCTCGTTCCACACTCTCCGTCGAGAGGGTGAAAGATTCTGCTTTTATACAATTTTGGAAACGGTAGTGGGAGGTGACCACACCTTGTTACAATGAGTCATAAGGCGTTGCCTAGCGGATGTGAGTCTACTTCTAGGGGTGTGGCTCGCTAGCCAGCAATGAGTCATAGGGTTGTGCCTTGAAATTCATTACCTTATATGGTCATGCGTGGCGTTCTGCTTCGACATGGCCTTGCGGAGACTAGATTCACTCGAATGAGTCATACAGGTGACTCGTCTGAATTCTAATTTTATTCTCTAGTCTAACGGCGATTTGTATTGAGAGCGATACTTCCTTTCATTATTAAATTTTAATATGACTTTTATCATGAAGAAAATATTTAATATTTTAATCGTAAAAGGTGTAAATATATGTTGAATATTATTTAGATTTCTTTAGACATACTTTACATACAGTAGAATAATTTAAGTCATTATTAGCATGTCTAAAGTATAAGAGATATTGCTCTCTTCGTCTAATGGTTAATACGGTATATCTGACTCTCTCTTTCTTTCTTTCAGATCATACAATACTCGCATCTCGCTCGGATTCGTGTTCCTTATGCTGCGCATAATACAATTTTATCTTTCTCGAATTCGTGAGTAACGCTTCGGCGCTTGACATTCGATATTTATATTAATTTTGGTAAGTATATATATATTTGTTAATAGTAATATTAATAAAAGTGATGTTAGCGGTGTTAATAATGATTCTAATATCAGGTTAATAATATATCGTACAGATAGAAATGGTCAGCATTCTCATTAGTACTGGAAATTAATGAAATTAAATTGTATATATATATATATATTAAGATTTTTATTATTTTTATATCTCGCAAATGGTTGGGAATTTGATGGGAGTGTACGGGAAACATATTGCAGAACTTTCACTAAAGTATAATATAGCATTGGAAAATTTTATTGTTGATATATGTATTTGTTAATAACAATTTATTAATTAAGCAAATTGGTACTCTTTAATTCACGTATTGATATTATTATGTTCTCTTTGTTTAAGAGGTTTTGAATTTCTAATATTATCTCGTTTATGAACATTCGTTATTTTATTGTTATAAATATTTCGTAAATAAACAATTGCAGAAATAAAAGTTATAATCATTTTTCGTAGGTCTACTGATGCAGAGTTTATGTGCGCGGTCAGAATTCGTGTTTACCCGAACGAGTTTTTATGTTCATGATGTATAATTGCCAATTATACGTCATAATGCAGACGGAGGTATATATTTCGTTAATTAATTAAGTGTAGCAAATTGTTAAAATTTATGTTTTCCATATGGGCTTGAAGAGGAAGGTTTAAACTTAATTTACATGCAAACGGGGTATTTTTTGCAGACGTAATTTAAGAGATATTAAGGGTTGAAGTTTGAAATAGTCGAATTTCGGGTAGTTGTGATAGAAAAATATCAATTATATGGCACAACTCCCATGCTAAACCGTTATACCGGGTGTCTTTCCCTTTGGAATTTTTTGTAGCCTCAACCAGAGGAGTGACGAGGTTTTGACTTATACAAAAGTTATTATGCATAACCTGGGGCACATGTTAACGGCTATTATTAGTGTGGTTAATTATTTATTTATAATTGTTTATAAAAATAAGTTGCAAAATCAAACAATCTTGTAGTAAGTATTTTTTCATTAAGTCGATCAGTTTTTCGAGATGATTTTGATGACGTAGTTAGTAAAATGGTATTGATATAATTTTAATTGTTTATAACAATTGTTTTGAAAAATATTAATAAGATAATAGTTATTTCAATGTGGTGTTTTTCCATAAATATAGGAGCATGTATTTCTATAATTGTTTTATCTCCGTCTATTTGTTTTCATTTTTATTTTAATTTATTAAGAGTTTATAAGGCTATCCTTGTCTTACTCTTTATGAACTGGTATTAAACTATCCTCGTCTTTCATGGAGTGAATGTTCAATTTTCAATCTCGTTTATTAATTTAATTAATTTAGATAGAAAATTGGCGTTAACGTTACTGGTGTTTAGGAGTATGAGAGATTCTATTTTTATTATAATAATTAAGTGTCAAAATTTTCGTTCAGAAATGTAATTTTTCAGCTTTAAAATGTATAAAAGACTAAAATATTAATGTAAAAGTGATTTGGTCTTGGTAAGTCTAAAGGGTAGGAAATTCAAGATGGCGGATGTGAAACTTTAATAATTTATAACTCGAGAACGGTAAGAGATAAAAAGATGGGGTTTCTTTTGTTGTGTTCAGATAATTAAAGGCATTATTTTAGGTTGTTTAAAATTTCTGTGTTTTATGGATTTCCATAATTTTTAATTATATCTCGGGATTAAGAAGAGATATGATGTGGGAGTTTTTGTTAGGTTACTTGACATGCTCTGCTGGGTATCTGTAGTGATTTTATTTGTCATCTTTAATAATATTTTTATGATAAATTTTATTGTTAATTAGTTTATTTTGAGAGATACAATAATAGTTTACAATCAAAAGTTATTTGACTTTTTGTGATAGTTCCAGTAATCACACTAACTAGGTCTGTTAATAATATAATTTATTTGTTTATAACAATCATGTTTGAAAAAATGCTAATGAGATAATTACTATTTTAGCGTGATAATGTTTCTTAGGCATAAAAGGTTATGTTCTTATGAATAATCTACTTTTAATTAATTTATTTATATTTTATTTTAATTTTCTGAGTTTATTCTTATGAATTATGCATTTATTCATGTGTTAAATTGAATTTATATTGCATAAAAGATCTCATAAAGGTTGTAATATTCATTTACGATCAATTTTAGTGACTCTGGGGAATTTTAACAAGCAATTGTCCAAAAGTTTATAGTGTGATTCATGCAAATGGAGCTTAAGCTTGAAAGGGTACCTTAAGGCAGCCATGTTCTCTAGGCTTATGTCTACTACTTTAAGAACGCGTGTTCGCATCAGCTGAGTGTTTGTTGTGACAGTTAATTTAAAGAATAATTGTTATATTATAATGTTGTTTTCAGATGCTGGGGACTTCTAGCAATGAAGATGGAAAATCAAAAAATTTATGCGGGTGGAATTTAGCGGTGATTATACCGTCAGACGTGACATATACCGTCAGACGTGACATCTGCCAAAATTTTCTTGAAATACGATAGATGCTGCTCTTCTGCAGTTTATCTGTCGGTGCAATAATGTATTATATAAATTCATGTGATAGAATAAAAATTTGCAATACATTTCTAAACGTAAAAGGGATATGCTTACCAAGTTCCGTGAGCGCCAAAACCGCCAAATAACCACAATACGTACAGTACTGTAGCACGAGGGCACAAATTTTTAACCGATATCTCCGCCAAATAACCACTATGCGTACAGTACTGTGGCACAAGGGCACAAATTTTTACTAGGGCTGGTGATTTGCTTCGAAGATTTTGGTATTCGAAGGTAACTTCGAACCTTCGAAGCTTCGAAGCTTCGAAGCTTCAAAGTTCGAAGTTAAATTCGAACCTTCGAAGCTTCGAAGTTTCGAACAATATATTTGTGCGAATGTCGAATTCATTTAAAGGACGCTAAAAATATTGTAAAAAAAAAGAATTAGTCAATATATATACTAAAAAAATGTGTAATTATTCCTAAATTACAATCTTGAAATATTATAACATGAATTATTACATATTTAAAATAGAAAAGTTTTAAATAAAAAATTAAGCCGTTCTTATTGAAACATGAAACGAGTTTTCGGAAATATTTCTCGTTCTGAAATTATCAAATAACGCATACTGCGATATTTGTCCTCAATATGTTATAGTTGTTTGAAATATATCTATCACTTAAAAGATTAATATTGCAATTGGTATTTATATATCTATCTTATTTAAAAAAATATATATTTATCAAGAATAGATGTTGAGAGAGAGAGAGTTATTTATATTTGTTTATTGCAAAATTTGTATGTGTACATATATATAGCGAGAATAGCGCGCGTTGGCTAATGTGTAGTTTTTAAGAGTGGAGATTACTTTTAAACTTTCAAAAAATCAATTTTCTTAAAGGTTAAACATTTTATAATATTTTTAAAATAAAACGCTTGTTACAATTTGAAACATTTACCAAGTTACAATATTTTATTGCGTCAGAGATTCACTGAAACTTTAATTGCGTGTTTTTCGAAAATTCATCAATTAGGTGTCTAACACATTTTGTTTTTAATCTATATAAAAATTGTTAAGACAATTAACAATTCGTTAACAAAATTATTTTTAAACTAAATATAAAATTAAAAAAAAACTAAAATAAAAACTAAATAAAACTAAATAAAACTAAATATTTTTTGTCAAAAAAATAAAAGTACATGGCTTTATTACTCTAATAAAAATTTGTTTTGAAAAATAAAAACATTTGTCGAAACATTCTTAGAGGCCATGCAGCTCCGTTGTGGCGAAACGATATTGCCCGCAGTTGAAAAAATTTGCTCTGACGCAACGGATGTCGCGGGAATACATAAATATTTCTTCGCCAACAGAGCCAACTGTGGAAATTTCTTTTCATGTGATTTCCACCATTGAAGGGGATCCATATTAATATCAATTTGTGGCTCACAAAGATACAGTTGGATCTGCTGAGCTGCCGAAGTTAAATGCGTGTTTTCGGGCTTTTTAAAAAGATAGTCTAGTACGCTAT